ACGACATACATCGTGCGACAAAATGCTGCCCCAATAGCACGCCCTGCCCCGGAGCCGACTCTTGACCCATCAAAGATACTGGCACATCGGGTTCGACTTGACGCAGCTGGTCGCCACGTGGATTTCCTAATCAGTTGGACTGATCGAACCAGTGAAGACGACACGTGGGTGCCATCCGCCTCGCTTGACGCGTCCTCGTTTGTTGGTGACTACCTTGCGCGCATGCGTATTGCGGACATTGACCACCTTTCTTAAGGGGGGGGTTAGTGTAAGGAATTTTCCCGAATTCCTTATCGGGGTTGACTGCTTCGCGTACAACCCCGATTTTCGGACTCTGCACGTTCGGCCGATATCAGCGCTGCCGAGACTCCTCGCGTCGCCTTCGGCTTTTCCCTTCGCCAAACCTGCACCCAACCTCGCCTCCCGAGGTTCCCTCCTAGCTAGGCTAGCCCCTACATTAGTGTGTGCCTTCATTGTATTCTCAGTTCGTTCAATCACAGTCTCGTTATTAGTTTAATTGCGCACTCTCTTTTACAACTCATAACCTAGTTTTATTCACCTTTATGTTGACTCCGCTAAGCGTGTTGGCTTGTTCCAATTCTTTCGACGGAGGTTCCAAGTATCCTGAAAGGGCGGTCCGACAGTGTGACGTCACGTCACGAACGTCCCAGTCCATTCACCCATTGAAGGTGATTGAAACCGTCCGATGGGCCTCGATGTGCAAACGGATGGCATGGATGATTTTTAGCCTACCCAGAGTCTGGTGCCCCTCTCAATGTCGGCATGCTCCAAGCTTATGCCATTGGTCGGGACGGGACCTACACATAGGCCCTGATCTGTGGCCCCTCAACTCAGAGTTAACTGGTTTCGAGGGGGTTTCATTAACTCAAACCTCACACGTGTGTACGTTACAATCACACCGTGCCAGCTAACTCTGAGTTAGCAAATAAGGGCCACGTCTACGCAAAGTACAATCAGGGTACGCTCCGTAGGAAGCTTGCGGGGAGCCTTCTTTCACGGGCAAACTAACTCAGAGTTAGTGCTCTCGCTTACTTTGGCTTTTGGGGTGAAACTCAATACACTACTCAGAGCGCGATTCGAGCAGGGTAAACCTAGTATGACATCAATTTGGTAAAATTTCTGACACATTTACCCCGCCCGACTAACTCCCACCAATCTCATTTTTATTTTTTTGCCATCCTGCCGTAAATGTTTTGTTTTATGCGATCGGGGTTGTTAGGGGACAGCCTGAAACTTTTTACGATAGAGCTCTCGAGAACCCCCACGCAACTTCCTTAACTCGGAGTTACGAAGGGCCACAGATCACCCACGTGAGTTACTTACTCAACATTCACACGAGCGTAATGATGCCTTGTCAATGTACTCATCCGAGCCTACACGGCTCGGTAACTCAGAGTTAGCTAACTCTGAGTTAGGGACACAGATCAGGGCCACAGCCTTGCTGTGGTGCACAGTTTGGCCGCTTCTACGCCACGATAGCTTCGCTTTGAGAATGTCGCCGCCGCCTAAACTAGTTCCTCATCACATAGCTTATGTTTTGAACTTCAGGCCAACGTATGCCCAGCTTGAGTCTACAGAGGTTCTCTCCTGCAGCCAATTAGTTTGAGAAGTAGCACGAATAGTTGAGCAGCTTTTAACGTTAGAGGCCATTAAAATGTTGAAGTAGCGGAACCTAAGAGCAGCCGCATCGCCACGTTGCACACAGGGAAAACCTGCTCGCCGTTCAGAGACATTAGAGCATGGACAGAATCATGCGAGTGTTTCAGCCGTCAAGGCCTTTTCGTCGACACGACAGCACAGCAGAAATGGAAGCAGCTCCCGACGCTTTGCGATCCTCAGACAAGGCGCCACGTCGCCCGAAAGGCTTCCAGATCAGGCGACAACGCACGAGAGGCCGCATCGTTGACGTGGACGATCCCGACCGTACGATCCGAGAGGCCGAGCTAGCAGAAATGGACGGCGGGGAGGGCCTGTTAGCGAGGTGGAGGATACATAGGAGCCGATTGGCTAATAACCGCATCCGGACGAGTATACACGCTGCTAACATTCCTCCCTCGCAACCTTTTTGAGCAGTTTCATCGCGTCGCGTACATTTACTTCCTCGTCCTAATCTAAATCAACCAGATCCCTCAGCTCGCGATCTTCGGCTGTTACATCTCCGTCATTCCGTTGCTCTCAGTGCTGACGGTAACGCCGATTAAAGACGCCTTCGAGGACTGGCGACGCCACCGCGCCTACGCGCGGGAGAACGGGCGCGAGTGCTTCGTATACCGCGGGGACCAGTGGTGCGCTGCCACGTGGCAGAGCATTCGCGTGGGAGAGGCTGGTGCATGTACGGAGGGACACGACAGTCCCGTGCGACATCGTACTTTTGGCGTCTAGCGACCCGTCGGGTCGCGCGTTTGTGGAAACGATGAACCTAGATGACGAGACGAACCTCAAGACCAGATACAATGAACATGGATCAGGGGCAGCAGCACTCGCAGCAGCAGCCTCAACAGCAGCCCCAGCAGCAAAACGAGGCGCAGAAGCGTAGGAAGAAGCAGCAGCGTAGCAGCAGTCGAGGCAGCTGCTTGCAACCACAGCAGCACGGCAGCAGGGGCGTGGCGATGTGATGGGGGGCATGGGAGGAGGTGCGGACTAGTGGGGTAGAGAGTCAGAGAGAGGGTGAAGGACAACATTCCGCACCACTTTTCTGCGCCAACATTCTGCACCAATTTTCTTGCACCACTTTCGAGGAGGTGAGGCGTGGCGATGTGAGGGTGGGGAATGGGAGGAGGTGAGGTGTGACAACGTGAGGCGCGATGATGTAAGGAGGGGAATGGGAGGTGCGAGGAAAGCAGCGGGGTGGACTGTGGGGAATGGAGTGAGCAAATAGTGAAATGCAATATTTTGCACCGATTCCGAGGAGGTGGGTGAGGCGCGATGATGTAAGGAGGGGAGTGGAAGGTGTGAGGAAAGCAGTGGGGTTAGTGGGGCAAAGAATCATGGAATAGTGGCTGGCTGCAGCCTGCATGGCACCACTCTCTCCTCTTGACGCGCCTCAAGAACACGGCACCGCTCTCCACCGCATGTGTGGCTTATCTTCTTCCACGCCTCACTCACTTTGCCTTCTCTGGATGCTTCGCCCGCCCCTTTAGAGGTCTGGTTCGGTAGCCACAACCCTCCATCCCCACCCCTCCCTTCATCCCCACCCCTCCCTTCATCCCCACCCCTCCCTTCATCCCCACCCCTCCCTTCATCCCCACCCCTTCCTCCATCCCCACCCCTCCCTTCATCCCCACCCCTCCATCCATCCCCACCCCTCCCTCCATCTCCACCCCTCCCTCCATCCCCACCCCTCCCTTCATCCCCACCCCTCCCTTCATCCCCACCCCTCCCTTCATCCCCACCCCTCCCTCCATCCCCACCCCTCCCTTCATCCCCACCCCTCCCTCCGTCCCCACCCCTCCCTTTAAGCATGTGGCTGCCGAACCCACACCTCTAAAGGTTCATTCTCCCCATGAGAAATTTCCCTTCACTTGCCTCCCCTGCCGCTCCCCCAATCCCCACCTATCACCATCCTCGTCCCACGATCGCACCAGACGTGTGTCTGGCTGCAGCACCCCGATCCCTCCCTTCAACACGGACATGCATCTTCCGCGCCTCACTTGCACCACTCAACTTGCACCACTCAGCTTAGTTGGTTCTTTTTCCCTTCACTGCCTCCCCTACCCCTCTGCACGTCCCCACACCTATCCCCATTCCCGTCCCACCCTCCCACCATTCGTGTGGCTGCAGGACCCTGGCGTGTACCACATGAGCATCTTCCATGCCTCACTTGCATCAATTGACTCACCTGCTTCGTATTCCTTCCACTGCCTCACCTGCCCCCCATCCCCACCTATCCCCATCCCCTGGCAGGCGTGTGGCTGCAGGACCCTGAAGTGTACCACATGAGCATCTTCCATGCCTCACACCATCTCTCGCCCGTACCTGCCACCGCCAAACAGGTATGGCCGTATCTATGGCAGTACAGTAGGGTTCTTACACAGGCTCAAACAGTTTACTCTGATGCTGTCTGTTGTGCTGAGCTGAAACAGGTAAGCCAGCAGATTCCTTTCGCGCACAGCTGCACAGCTGGTCAGCCAGTCGAATCATTTGCCCCATGACTCATTCTTTTACAGTTTCAGCATCCCCACCTGCCCTACCGCCTCTTCCCCCCTTTCCTGCACTCTTGCGAGCTGGTGGACGAGGTGTGTGGTGCGGGCAGTGAAGGGCGTGAGCAAGCGCCTGTGTATGCGTTTCCAAGTGTCAACCCCACGCCTTCTCCCCTGTGCTCCCCACGCATCCACACATATCCTGCCCTCCTCCCACCCTGCCAGCTAGTGGACGAGGTGCGGGCAGTGAAGGGCATGAGCAAGCGCCTGTGCCCGATGCGAGTCTCTCTGGATCGAGTCACTCTCACTGCCACTGGCGTGCTGCTGGCGTGCTGGCAGGTGAGGAACCACTCTCATATTCCTGTATTTTCATGAGTGTGTGTGTGAGTGTCGACAGTGCGTGTGGCTGTGCCCGCTGCGTGTCTCACTGGATCGAGTCATTCTCACCGCCACTGGCGTGCTGCTCACGTCTGGGCAGGTGAGTCGTCAGATTTGCTTGCATTGCATGGAGTGCTTGGGGTGCTTGCATGCACATCCGTGTGTGTGTCTGTATGTGAAGAAGGCACATGTCGAAGTCGTGTGCGGTTGTGCTTGCTTGCTGCTTGTCTCACGGGTGACGGGACCGGGTCATTCTCACTGCTACTGGTGTGGTGCTTGCATGCTGGCAGGTGAAACATCATTTGTTGTGTGCATGTGGATGGGGTGTGGCTCCATATACACAAAGCATATGCAGCTGCAAATGGACACTGGGTGATGCTTGGGTTACACCATGCTCGCATAACATATGCTTTTTTTGTTCCGTTGCACCGCACTGCACCGCATCCCACCTCCCTGCCCCAGGTGGTGGAGGGCACGGATCCAGCAGAGCTGAGGGATGCGTTCAAGGAGGCTCTGCCGCGCGCTCCCAAGCAGCAACTGGTGGGTGCCGCCCCTGCTGCCCTGCTGCTGTTGCTGCTGCTCACATGCTCTTGTGTGTCCTAAGCTGAGACCGCTGAGGGAGTTGACTCTGCCAGGCATGCGCTGCAACAATATTACCGTACCTCATGTGTTTTCACCTTCCCCCGCTCATCCTTTTCCTCATTCCAGTTCCACATTGTCACGCCGCAATGCGTCGCATCACATTGTGCAACATGAATAGTTATGTGGTAGTATGTGTCTATGTTTATTTGTCTGCATATCTATGTATATGTATGTATACATATACACTTTTTTTTTTCCGCACCCCTGCATCTGCTGTTGTGACCTGCCATCTTGATTCTTTCCCATCTTCTCTCACTGTTTCATAAATCATTGGTAACCTTGTTTATTTTGTTCTTCACGCACCTTGTTCTTCGCGCACTTTGTTCTTCACGCATAAAAAAGTGATTTTTTGAGACGTCTAAAAAATTCACGCACCTTGTTCTTCACGCACTTTGTTCTTCGCGCATCTGCTCGCCCCTCCGCCAGTACAACCAGGTCATGCTGCACACATCACTGGCCAGGATCATTGCACCGCCCACGTGGCCTGACGGGGTATATATGTGTGCTGCATCAACGTATCCCTCTTTTGATTCGTCTCAACACCTGCACCACCCCTGTGGCCGGACGGGGTATGTGTGCTTTATCAAGGTATCCCCCTTGGACTGCTACGCTGTTACAACCAGAGGGAAGCAGCACCTGCAACATTCTGTTCCATTCTTTCCTTCCCGCACCTGCCATTCTCGCGCTTCCAGCCTTGCACTGTTGTCTCTTGCACTCATTCCTCCACTTCTCACTCGATGCATCACCCATGTCCTGCACACCAGACGCTAGCACACAACACCGAGTCAGCGATGCCCATCTTCCACTCCATAGTCAGCGAGCTCAACCAGAAGCTCTGCCGCAAACAGGCACGCCTTCTCTTCGCCCCCCTCCCTCTCCCTGCTCTTTCCCTCATCTCTCTGTTGCTCCCCTCCTGCGCTCTGCCTCTTCCTCCTTCCCTCCCATCTCTCTACTTATACGGTGCTGGTCATTTAATTCATCTGTTTCTCCCCATCCCACTCATTCCCTTCCTCCACTTCCTCTTTTTTTTTTCGTTGGTTCTTCCTCTTCTCTCCCCGCTGTCCCCCTCTCGTCATCTCATCAGCCTCTCGTCAATGAAATCTTCGCCCAAATCATTTCCTCTTTTAAAAAAAGAGAACTCCCCTCTTTCACTTGTGCACATCACCTTTCCACATACTTCTGCATCACATGAACTGGGAACAGCAAGCCTTCGTTTGACTCATCGCCTCTACTATTCCCACACACCTCTCTTGCTGTTGCTATCACCCCATGCCATGCAGACGGTGGTGAGGGAGCTATGGAACGTGGAGGAGATGGATGTGTTGGCGCTGGCGCTGCAAGGCAAGATGAGCATCAAGCGATTCAACCTCACATGTATCCAATAAAGCACTGTTTGCGTTGCTATTAGGCACAATATATTGAGGGGGTTGTCCTCCCAGCAGGTCAGGAAATTCTCTCTCAATACAAATGTTCGTTGTACAAAATGATCTCCTAGGGCCGTATCCAAATGCAAACCAAATTACCCCGCCCCTTATAATGCCTTGGGCTTGTAGTTATTATGGCTTTTTTATGAAGGGTTTTTAATCAGCTCTTTTCTTATCGCCCCGGGATTATAATAAATTATATTTCTGTTAGAATTTGCAGGTAGGTATGGTGGACTAGGTAGCATGCATGAATACAAGTACCTAACCCTAAAGTGTTGTACCCCTTGTAGGCTAACTCACTATAGCCCAGAGAGAACACAAACATGCAGTTTGACACACCCCCATAGGCTAAGTGGGAGATAGCAAACACAACAGACGGTCACAACACCAGTCAAGCAAGAGAACAAGCAAAGCAACGCAAAGCTCAGGGTGCACACAATCTGAGCACAAGCAAGCAGCCACAAGGCCAGTTCACATGCAGAGTTATAATAGCAAGGCAGTACACTGATCACAACCTAGCAAGAGTAAACAAGCAGGTAGAAAGATATATATCAGTGTACAACAAGAGCAAGTCAAGCAACCAGCAGGTGAGGCAGAGTGGGCACAAGCCCAAGAGCAGTGCAGAAACGGTGATGATCACCAGACCCAAGGGCCTTGGTGAAAACATCAGCAGTGTTGGCCCGAGAGGCCACGAAAGCAAGGCGCAGTTGACCACGCTACTGCAGCTCACGTGCAAGGAAGTAGCGAAGAGCAATGTGCTTCGTTCGGTGCTCCAGTCTCTGCTCGCGACACAAGGCAAGCATTGCCTTGTTGTCTACGTACAGATTTGGAGGAGAACTAGGCCGCTCCCCCAAGTCGGTCAGCAGGTAGGTCAGCCAGCGTAGCTCCTGTGTAGCCATGGCCCCAGCGTAGATCTCGGCCTCACAGCTGGAACCAAGCACAGAAGAAGAACGAGTGGACCTCCACGAGACAGAACCAGAGCCAAGACTGAAGGTGTAACCCTGTGACGAACGCCGAGTCGTCTGGTCGTCGGCCCAAGAAGCGTCAGAGTGTCCTGTGAGGACCACCGAACCCCGTCCTCCAAGCACGAGCCCCATGCCCGATGTGCTGCACAAGTAACGCAGTACCCTCTTCGCAACATCAAAGTGTCACCTTTCGGTGTCTACTGGGTGCCACATAGCAAGCCAGGAGGCTGAGAGGGTACGCGAGGTCAGGTCGTGTGCACGTCATCAGGTACGCAACCCACAAGCTCTGGGTACGGACCACTCGGCTCTACGGACTCGTCTGAAGGTGGACCTGAGAGCGAGTGGCCGGTAGACAGAGGAGTGGGCTGTGGTGAGGACCACGTGAAGCGGAAGCGCTGAAGGACCTGCTGCACCATGTGTGACTGAGTCAGGGTGATGGTGCGGCGTGCTCTGTCCCGGGTGATCTGCAAGCCAAGATAGCTCCGCAGCTCACCCAGGTCAGTGCAGGAGTGTCTCTCCTGCAGCTCGGCCTTCACTAGGGCCAGTGCCTCAGTGTCAGCAGTAGCAAAAACCAAGTCGTCGACGTACACGAGGATGTAGAACGGCGGCAGAGTAGTGTCGGTGCGTAGAAACACCGACGGGTCAGCAGTCGAAGGAGCAAACCCAAGAGCCGCAAGTGTCGTTCTCAGTGTGTCGTGCCACTTGCGGGGCGCCTGACGCAGGCCGTACACTGGTCGCCGCAGGCTCCACTGGGTACCCTCAGGAAACGACCCAGTGAAACCCTGTGGACGGCGCAACCAGATGGCCTCGTGAAGGCTACTCTGCAAAAAAGCCGTCAAGAAGTCGAGGGAGTGCAGCTCGTAGTCACGCTGAGCTGCAACGTGTAGCAACACCCGAAGAGTGGTCATCTTCGGGGTGGGGGAGAAGGTCTGAAAGAAGTCGACCCCCTCACGCTGACTGAAGCCTCGAGCAACGTAACGTGCCTTGAAGGCAGGCGGAGAACCCGTCGGCCGCTTCACCCTGAAAATCCACATGCCACTGATGATGTTCGCCCCAGGTGGGGGAACCTCATCGACGTAGGTGCCTGTGGACTTCCAGGAAGCCATCTCTACGTCCATGGCTGTCTGCCACTGAGAGGAGTACTCACCCAAAATCGCCTCCCTGTAGGAGCGCGGGGTGGGGATGTCAAGTGCACCCGGGTCTCCCTCAGTGGCAAGCAGCATGGTCGCGTGATGGGGTGAAGCGGCCGCAAGGCACTCCAGCTCCTCTTGTCTGTCCTCAAGAACGTCACAGCCAAGGGCAGTACAGCCAAGGGCATTCTCACCCCCGACGGACGGAGGACAGGCATGGACAGGGTCAGAGACAAGACTCGCAAGGTAGTCTAGGCGGTACACAGCAGCAAAGTCAACGAGCTCAGCGACTAAGGCAGACGCAGCAGGAGACGAGAACGTAGGGTCTGTCACAACCGTAGCAAGGAAGTGAGTAACAGTCGGACTGGACGCACGAGCAAGGTCAGACGGAGGGTCAGCAATGGCAGGAAGAGATGATGCAGGAGGTAACGGCAGGACAACACGATGTGGAACAGAGGAAGGACGGAGTGTCATATCGTGAGTGCCTGGGACAGCCGGAGCACGAGGACGGCGCACACGACGCACACGAGTACGGACAGCGGCACTAGGCTCGGGCTCAAGGTCAAAGCTAGACTCAGGCTCGTGACGCTCAGGGGTGGAAGCACGAGTCTCAGGCTCTCGACGCTCAGACAGGGACTGTGTCACCGCAGTGTAAGGAGCAGGAGCAGGCAGTGGGGAGTGCAGTAGCAGCGGCGGCTGAGACTGGTCCGCCGGTGGAAACAGTAACGGAGGAGTAGTACCTGCCACTGGGAAGTCAGTAGCACCTGGCGGAAGACTGAGAAGGTGGCGAAGAGCACCAACAGCTCCCGTACCTCCAGCACGAGCAGCTCCTCCAGTACCCCCAGCAACACCTCCAGCACCAGTAGCACCAGCACCTCCAGCACCACGAGCTCCGACAGCGCCAGCACCTCGAGCACCCGTAGTACCTCTAGCACCTCCAGTGCCTCCAGCTCCAGCTCTAGCGCCAGTACTACCTCCAGTACCTCCCGTGCCAGCAGTTCCAGTAGCACCTCCAGCACCTCCAGCACCAGCAGCACCACCTGCTTCGGCAGCTCCAGCACCTCCAGTACGAGCACCTCCGAGACCAGTAGCTCCAGCACCTGCAGTACCTCCAACTCCAACGCCTCCAGCACCAGCAGCACCAGCACCTCCAGGGTCAGCAGCTCTGGCAGCTCCAGCACCAGTAGCACCAGCACCTCCAGCGCCAGCAGCTCCAGCACCCCCAGCACCTCCAGTAATAGTAGTACCTACAGCATCAGCAGCTCCAGTACCTCCAGCACCAGTAGCACCTCTAGTACCTCCAGCAGTAACTCCAGGCCTAGCAGCTCCAGTACCTCCAGCACCAGCAGCACCTCTAGTACCTCCAGTAGTACCTCCAGCACCTCCAGCACCAGTAGCACCTCATGGACTAGTAGCTCCAGCACCAGCAGGACCGTACCCTCCACCACCAGGACTGCCTCGCCGAACGACCCACACACGAATCGCCTGCGGCGAGAGCGTCTCAAGTAGAGCAGGCTGCGGTGGCTTTCCAGCTCCAGTACCTCCAGTTGTGGTAGCTCTAGCACCTCCACTACCTGAAGCACCTCTAGTACCTCCAGCTCCAGCACCTCCAGCTCCAGGACCTCCAGAAGGACTCGCAGCACCCCCAGAGTCAGCACCCGAAGTCTCAGCACCCCCAGAGTCAGCACCCAAAGTCTCAGTACCCTCAGGCTCAGTACCCTCAGGCTCAGTACCCTCAGTCCCAGCACCCGCAGGCTCAGTACCCTTAGTCCCAGCACACGCAGGCTCAGTACCCTCAGTCCCTGCACCCTCAGTCTCAGCTCCAGTGTCCACTGCAGAAGGCTGCAGAGGCGGGAAACCGGGGGGGGTAGCCAAACGAGGAGAGCGGACACTCCCACACGTACCACCCCCAGGCCCAGCTCCAGCAGCCTCAGCTCCAGAGTCCACAGCAGCAGGCTACAGAGGTGGCAAAGACGGCCGAGGCGGGAATCCCAGGGGGGTTTCCAAGCGAGGAGTGCGGCGAGTGGTCGCCGTTTCGTCGGCGGCTGTG